GCGTCAAATTTGGATATGCCCTCCACCTTTTTGAGAGCTTTTCTGGGACCTATTTTTACCCAAACAACTTTTGAACTAGTCATATGACGATCTTTGAAATTTTCGTACGATATGAATGCAGGCACCAAAACCTGCATCTGCTTGAATATTGCTCGACATTGAAGGGAGAGCTGAAGTCATTCCTCTTTTTATATAGTATTGTGGAGAATTGTGTACAAAGTTGAAACATCAAATGTTTTGACAATTATTAAACTTGCTCCTTTTCTGAAATATCAAGAATTCCTTAGACTTTTTGAGAATCCTTATGGTACGAATTCCACTTGTCTCAAATGCACATTGTGCGTTCTGGGAATATAATGAACATTCTTCCTTGATTGTATTATTTAAGGCATCAACTTTGATGTTTGCAAATTTTAAATTCATGAACATTCGATCTTTTTTCTAATTTCGGGTTTTGGTCAAACGTTTCAAGGCAGGATAAAATAGTATACATTTTAGCCGTTAATGTGGGCTCTTATTGTTGTACAGGCTACACTACAGAGGACCCATCCATCAGCAAAGTTGCTGGATTCGTTTAACTTGCTTTTAAGAAAACAGTATAGTCGTATTCTTACATTGTGCAATCCCAATGTTTTCTCAAGGAGATGAAACATTTCTTCCAAATCAATAGGATCATTTGGCCTGCATCCGTTCTTGTGATCATGGCTGAGTCGACAATACATTGATGTTGGCATTTTGTTTGTTTGAAAGACTGTCAACGTTTGTTGTTTTGTCACTTCATCAATATTGCATTGCTGTATGTAACAGTCGAATCCAATTATTTATTCTGGCCATCCAAGGTCGACTGATATACTATCTTCTCTAATATCCTAACCTTCATACGAAAGCCTATTAGGGCCAAATTCATTGATAACGTTTTTTATTTAAAAGTTGTAATTACAAGTTGTAAAGGTGTAATTACAAGTTATAAAGCTGTAATTACAAGTTAAAAAAGGTGTAATTACGACTTCCTTCATGCAGAGGATGGAAATATTTTCAGTATTGAAGTGTTGGTAGTACCACATTAAGTAAACACAACATTAAGCATTCTCATGCTATAGATTTCTGTTCCCTCATTGTTAGCCATCTCTATAGGTTCATCCTGGTGTAATAAGTGTTAAACTGACCAAAACAAATCTAACAAAACTATGTATTGTGCAAAATAATTTTAATAATAAACAACAATCAAACACTGACAATCAAACGTGTCCAAAACGTTGCAATCAACTGAAACTGAAGTTTAAGGGTGTGATTTTCGAGTTACAACAACAGTTAACGTATAAAGTTTTAGCAATTATCATTTTCTTAAATACTAAATACATACAGTCTCTATATTAAACCTGAAAAAAAATTACATATAAATGTCAGATGTACCGATATTCCACTATTTGAAAAATAGGGGCAGGGAACTATTAGAGTGAGCGAGTATAGTTTTACGCCGCTTTTAGCAATATTCCAGCAATATCATGATGGGGGACACGGGAAAATGGGGGTCGCTATCAGACCGTGGTTCGTCAGCGGCTTGGAGGGAACATATTTCGAATTCACGACTGGTAAACAAAAAAGTGTTAAAAACACTTCAATAATCATAACAATCATGTGTTAAGGCAGAGAGAGCTGAGTTTTATATCTAGTGAAATATTTACCCACACACTACACAAAACAATGGCTTCGTAATTGTTTTGTTCATTTGTGAGAGGAAAATATCAATATCAGTAGTTTAATTGTTATTAATTTCATTGGTATGGCAAACATCACCCATGCGATTGCTAACTTTCTTAACACTGTTGGAGGCAGATTAATATGTCTACTAGAAATGTATAACCATATATATTACATACAGTTTCGGCAAGATCACTGAATCTAAAGAAACAAAGATGACGGACGAGGCGTCATGACATAAATTCACTTGAACCTTCCGTCTTGGTGAACTCAAATACAAACTCTAGGACTCAGAAACTACTTCTCTATACACAACATACATAAGTAAATGGTAGAATGAATGAAATATATAAAGCAATTTCTAGACTAAGTGTAATTTTCACTTTCCTAAGTGAGAAATTCTAAATGTGTGCACGTGGCCCTATTCCGATGGAGGTCACTGATGAGGTTGTTGCATGCGCTTATGGAACTTTTTTATGTTCTTTATAGATGTTGATTTCCAATTGTCGATGTTTATGAATTTTGCTTAATATTAAGTTTTGAGCTTTATTGCCCTATTCTTCAAATAGTAATGCTCTCGTGTGCGGCCATGTAATTTGGATGGTTGGTTTGTTGTTTAACGCCGCACGCAGCGATATTCCAGCTGTATGACGGTGGTCTGTAAATAATCGAGTCTGGACCAGACAATCCAATGATTGACATTATTGCGCATCGATCCATGCATTTGGGATACGAAAACCAAGTCAGCGAGCCTGACCACCCGATCCCGTTACGACAAGCATGGTCGCCTTTAACGACAAGCATGGTCGCCTTTAACGACAAGCATGGTCGCCTTTAACGACAAGCAGGGGTGGCTGAAAAACAATTCTAATGCGATCTTCACGGGTCAAATATGTTAAACCGCCAGTTACAGCCTTTCAGCACCCAAATCAGCTCCCCACTTTATGTTCTAAACATTACATTCCTCTGCCACATACAGTTATGGATAAGGGGTCATGTGGCCCTCTGCCTCTCAGCTGGGGACTGCGGACAATTCTCAGGTCCAAGGCAGCATAACATATTAAAACAATTGAAATAAAACAAAACTTCTAAATTATATATATATATATGTCAGGTCAAGTCAGAGCCAAATATCACAAAATCATACATATACATTTAGAAGCTGACTACAAACAACTTGTGTACCATATCGCAGTTCATTAGTGGTGAATATGTGTTATTGATGCATATTGTACATATGGTTGCTACGGAACATCGCAGGACAACAGGTCTGTGGGCTACAAATTTGATAATATTGAAACAGTTACTGCATAATAAGAATATATCCAGTCAATGTGCATATCCTAATCAAATGACTTATATACATTAATCACGAAATAATGTTTATTGTAACCATGTCCGTTTATAGAATAGTTACAGTCACTATACATAAAATAACAAAAAATGTATTTACAAAACGTAAGGTATACAAAATCAAGTGGACTCCCCTATTCCCGGGGAACAGTACATTGCAAATCACCCAGGTCCCGAGGGTGACAATCGAATGGAGGAGGGCACATGCCCCTACAGTTTTATCAAACCCTGTGTAGCCACCCACAACGGAACAGCCAGATGGATGGGACATGCGCTTCCTCCAAGCCCTAATAACTGCACCATCAGAAGGGCTCTCTGCTATAAATTCTTGAAAATAATTGACAACTGTAACGGGTGGAAAATACCAGAATATGTTCAAAAGAAGATCAGACTGGGTGATGGGGAGCATGCTGTCTTCCATCACAGACTAATAAAGACGGAATGTGTGTTGACACTTGTGCGAACAAAATACACAAATGGGATACATGAGCCATATATGGGACACAAGTGGTGGCGAACTGACTATTTTTCTCTTTGTATCTATATTATCATTGATATTCTTTCAAAAACTGCAATTAATTTCTTTGGGGAAAATCAAAATTTTGTAAAGCATAACACAGTAATGAAACTCTTGGCATCATGTAGCTGACTATGGCAATACAGTATCCTTATCAGACAAGTGATTGTGTTTTGTTTACATAAAGAGTGTAATTGCTCCTAAGAGGTCAAATATGTGACTTGTGCTGTGTCTCAAAGTTGACAGGCCTTCCATTCCTTCCTGGAGGAAAAAGTCGCGGTTTAAGCAGCACAAACATACACAAATATGTTTACAAGTGAGTGAGTGAGTGAGTGAGTTAATATTTAAAGTCACATCGGCAATATTTCAGCCATATAGTGACTATATCAAAAGGTCGTTCAAGGGATGATAAAGTAGTTGCTAGCGCAGGGGATTAAATTGGTTTCGAATACAGTCACTTTTACTTGACATTATATAATTACATGAAGAAGTATGACAATACAGATTTAATGTCAAAGAGGTTGGACACCAAAGTATATATTAACACACTTCATGAAATCAGAGCAAATTCTGGTCCCACTATTGGGTTGTCAGTCCATATTATAAGAGGTCATTTATGCTAAATGTGTAGATTTTTCCATCCTACGAGGTAAATGTTTGAATGCATCAACCATCAAGGACCTCTTTAACTGAGTGAGTGAGTATGGTTTTACGCCGTTTTTAGCAATATTCCGGCAATATCATGGCGGGGGACACAATGGGCTTCACACATTGAAACCATGTCGGCATTCGAAACCGGGTCTTCGGCGTGACGAGCGAACGCTTTAACGACTAGGCTACCCCACCGACGCACATGAGTACACCTACCAAACAAGGTAAAAACGAACCAGAAGGGACTGTTGATATTTGTTAGTTAAATCCGTCGTGCATCGCGAAAATTTGGAAGCCCCAATTATCCATAAGCACATTCACGGTTTAGTGTGAAAAGGTTGGATTGAACATATACATTGTGTACCCGGTATTTTTTAAACGATCGAAAACAACAACTCATATTAAACAGGTGCTGGAGAACTTGGACGTATTTGTTACTCGCATTCTTATGAACTTCTTGGTATTTTCGCCAATAGTTACAGAAGAACAAGTTTCAGCGCTCCAAATCAGTAGAAGGAATTTGAGCAGTATTCAACGGAACCTGTTGACGTTGCCTTTCAGCCATCTCAGCGATTGAATAATTACGTATCTGTTGTTTAAATCACCGCTGATGGAGGGGGCGGTCGGGTAGCCTAGTGGTTAAAGCGTTCACTCGTCACGCCGACGACCCGGGTTCGATTCCCGACATTGGTACAATGTGTGAAGCCCATTTCTGTTATCCCCCGCCATGATATTGCTTGAATATTGCTAAAAGCGTCGTAAAACCAAACTCACTCACTCACTCACTCACTCACTCACTCACTCACTCACTGCTGATGGCAACTGACACTGATGGAGTGTGGTGACCATTTCGTTGCATCACGCCTACGTTTTAACGTCTCGTTTGAATGACAAATCAACGTGCTATTGCCGCGATATTGTTATATAAAATTCTACCAGGAAACAAATCACCAGCGCCTCAAAGTATAAGTATAATTCAGCTGGAGTATCACACATGTAGAATTGGTATTGTGGGCGATGTACAGCACGAACGTTTAGATTGTGACATAAAATAGTCTTCAAACTTCCTGCGTCATACGTGACTGGCTTTTTTTAAATTGTCCTTCATAATTTGTTTCTTTGATAATAATGTGTTACATGTACTTGTTCTAGAGACTAAAAAAAGGCACGCACGAAGCCACTCTCTTGATCACTCACTTACCCATCCACCCACCCAAACTCACTAATTCACTAGTTTTACAATTTCATCCAGGAGATGAACATTTCCCTTAAGGTTATAACACCACAGTGTTACGCACTGTTCACCTAACTATGCGTTTAGCGGCACTGCCGGTCAAAGATGTTGCAAATATTTATTTTTTTTAAATTCTGCAAATCTGTGGTCTCAGAACAGTGAATTTCAAACACAAAAACAATCATATGGCCGGGTGTATATGTTGAAGATAGATTTCTTTAGCAAACGAAACATAGAGGGTTGAATGATTATTGGAACCTTTCAGCCAAGGATCGTTTTCATATTTCAAGCACAGTTACGGATGATTCCATGGTATAGAGTAGAGTCCTGGATCATGTGCGATGGGGCATCATACCAAGCCGTTTTGCTCAGGTAACAGCCATGATATGTAAAATCGTAATCTGCTGTAATACACAGAAAATTTGTTTCTGCTGAGCACAAATCCATACACATCTCTATTGTAGGGACGTTTCCTACAAACTTGTCGTTGTGTTCGTAAAGGTCTTTATTTCTGAATGTAGTGAATTCCGAACCATAGGTAGAACAACCTGAAAGAAAAGTATGAGGTCAACTGCGAATGAAAGTGTTACCTGAGTGGGTGAGTTAAAGTTTAACGTCACATCGGCAATATTTCAGCCATATCGTGACGAGAACTTCGACGTCAGCGAAGGCCAGTAGAATAACTAGAGTATCACAGTTTCGATTTTAAAACTATTCACAAAGAAAAACGTTAAGCACACCCCTATTTCTGTACCATGACAAAAGGCAAAAATATGGGCAAGGGATGACTGACCACAGGAGCTAGGCGATACCAATGTCATCGGATAGAACAAACATTTGACAACAAATACAGAAAATATTGGTGAGTTGTGATTGTGGTTGTACGCAATTAAGTCATCAGTTAAAATATACAAATATACTACGTGAGGTATGAATAAATGTACTTTAAATGGTGTGGCCTTACATATCCTCTTGACCCGTGAAGATTCCGGGATAGAATTGGTCTTCAGCAACCCATACTTGCAGTAAAAGGCGACAAACGGGATCGGGTGGTCAGGCTCGCTGACTTGGTTGATGCATGTCATCGATCCCAATTGCGTGGATCGATGCTCATGATATCAATCACTGGATTGTCTGGTCCAGACTCGATTATTTACAGACCGCCGTCATATAGCTGGATTATTGCTGAGTGCGCCGTTAAACAACAAACCAACCAATATGTTTCTATGGTTTGGGTTTCTTTTCGCAGTGTATATTATACACAATCAGGAACGTCAACCACCACCATACTCAAATCGGCACTGAGGGGTGGATTTCAGTGCTAACAATATGGCCGATATAAATGTAAGCTGAAGTAACGTCGGGTTTCATGTCTCAGCGCTTTTAGGAACAAAACCGCAACCTACCTTGAACACAGTTGCCATGTGAGTACACGTGCATCATGTCACACACACACTGCCCATCATTACAAGTAGTCTCTGCACCAGTACAATCTGAAGAGCTGACACAGGAGCCGAAAGGGTTGACTGAAAGATATAATCAGTGATTGGTCTCAATTGAATTGTGAGGTTTGTTTTTGGTTGTTATTTGTTTAACACCGCAGTCGACCCGTGAAGATCCAGGGTAGAATAGGCCTTCAGCAACCCATTCTTGCCGTAAGAGGCGACTATGATTGTCGTTTGTTTGTTATTTAACGCCGCACTCAGCAATATTCCAGCTTTATGACGGCGGTCTGTAAATAAACGAGTCTGGACCAGACAATCATGAGCATCGATCCACGCAAATGGGATCGATGACATGCATCAACCGAGTCAGCGAGCCTGACCACCCGATCCCGTTAGTCTCCTCTTACGACAAGCATAGTCGCCTTTTATGGCAAGCATGGTTTGCTGAAGACCTATTCTACGCCGGATCTTCTCGGGTTTATGCTTGTCGTAAGAGGCGACTACCGGGATCTATGCTCATGATATCAATCACTGGATTGTCTGGTCCAGCCTCGATTATTTACAGACCGGCGTCATATAGCTGGAATATTGCTGAGTGCGGCGTTAAACAACAAACAAACAGACCAAACAAACAAACAAACCGGGATCGAGTGGTCAGGCTCCCTGACTTTGTTGATGCATGTCATCGTATCTCAATTGCGTTGATCGATGCGTATGTCAATCACTGGATTGTCTGGTCCAGACTCGATTATTTATGTACATAGTTAGAATATTGCTGAGTGCGGCGTTAAACAACAAACAAACCATTGAATCGAACCCGGGTTTTCGGCATGATGAGTGAACTCTTTAACCACTAGGGGCGGTCGGGTAGCCTAGTGGTTAAAGCTTTCGCTTGTCACGCCGGAGACCCAGGTTCGATTCCCAACTCGGGTACAATATGTGAAGCCCATTTCTGGTGTCCCCCACCATGATATTGCTGGAATATTGCTAAAAGCGACGTAAAACCATACTCACTCACTCACTCACTTTAACCACTAGGCTACCCGACCGCCCCCTACGTGATTGGGATACGATAACATGCATCAACCAAGTCAGCGAGCCTGACCACCAGATCCAGTTAGTTGCCTTTTATGGCAAGAATGGGTTGCTGAAAACCTATTTTACCTGGATCTTCACGGGTCGAATTGTGGAGGCGACATAAAAACTATGACTCTTTCACTGGATATATTCATTTGATACTATGCAATAACATGTTGATGGAACAATTGGTTGGTTATATGATGCGTATTTTTATCGACTCTCAATCAAAAGTTGTTTTATCAGGATTACAGCAATCAAGGCCTCAACAAAGCTTTCAAAAGTTTTATGGTGGACATGTGCTTGACATTTCCAAATTTGAGGCATCAGTGACAAAAATTATGTCCGATGCAATTCCCTACTTTGACTGGTGCCAAATGGTTCCCGTGTTTGTTAAGGTGAACATTTGACTTGCCTTTAATTTGCATGTGTTTGTGGTGTATACCACCGGTGGAGCAGAATACGCTCACCTTTTCACGTACACCTCGTATCATCACTATTTGATAGTGATTCAAAAACACAAGCTCATGCTATAGTCAGTCAACTGGCAGAGATTTCTTATGAGTGAGTGAGTATGGTTTTACGCCGCTTTTAGCAATATTCCAGCAATATCACGGCGGGGGGACACCAGAAATGGGCTTCATACATTGTACCCATGTCGGGAATCGAACCCGGGTCTTCAGCATGACGAGCAAACGCTTTAACCACTAGGCTACCCTACCGCCCCAGATTTCTTATGAATATGGAAACAGTTTTGTCGCATTTATAATTGTCGAAAGAGTTTGAAGTGACATCAGCTTGCAGAATGTATTGGTTGCTGAGTTGTATTTTAAATGAACAATTTTTTCAGAAATATTTCAAGCTGCCAGGGAGGTTTTGAGGCCAACGGTACTTAACCAACGTAGGCCTAACGTCTGAATGCGAGCTGGGTAGGCAAGATAAAGTTGTTTATCCTTACTGTGTACAATTGTGCCAAATATTTAGATTGTCCATACAACTTACATGAATAAACAATAATACGGTTCGTCCTTACACCTTAGGGATTTGTCTTCACCTTTTACAGAAAAACAAGATAAAATAGCGTGTCCTCACTAGTTATCTGGGTAGGAAATAGGTCTTCAGCAACCCATGCTTGCGGTAAGTAGCGACTAACGTGATTGAGGGGTGAGGCTCGCTGACTTGGTTGATGTATGTCATTGTATCCAAATTGTGTGGGCCGTATGTCATTGTATCCAAATTGTGTGGGCCGATGCTCATGATATAAATCACTGGGTTGTCGGGTACAGACTCAGTTATTTACAAACTGCCATCATAAAGCTTGAATATTGCCGAGTTTGGCATTAAACAACAAACAAACAGACATGTGTGTTTCAATTACCTGGTGCACAGGTGGAATACATGTTGAATCCTGATTCATCGACATACTTTGTTGCTGCTGGTGTAGTGAGAGGCACAGTATATGCCACGCATTCTCCACTACCGTCCTTGAATCCAAAGTACCTGATGACTCCAAAGCGGGAGCAGTGCGTCGCACATTCGGCGGGACTAGTCGTTTCCTTGGTCCACAGAACACCAACACTAACTCTCTTGTTTTGGAAAAATGGCAATGGCACCACCGGGCATACACCACAGGCAGTACTTCTAACAACACCAAAACCACCACAAGTTATCAACAAAAGCAGAGGAAGATCTCTTCTGGTCATGATTTGTAACAAGCCCCTTTCCTCACAAACAACTTTCTGCAACTACAACAAGTGTAGAACTCCAGTGAAACTTAGAGTTCTGCGCATAAATATTTAATTTGTAAAAAGCTAGTGACCGTTGAACCGTTCTTCTCGGCTGAATATACAATGCATAAAACCTTTTGAAGGTCTGTCCTATAAAATTTACAAAGTCATCTGTGGCAATGACGGTTGAATGATTGATGTTGCAGACATCCAAATAAAATCAATCGAAGTTAGCCAGCATAGATTGGGCATCAACAGTGTTTTTTTCCAGTTGTGTCTGTAGCAACTGCTTAGTAAAATGTAGCAACTGCTTAGCAAAATGTCGCCTTGTTGCATCATGATATAAGTTTATGTGGATTGCGGCGGAACCCCCATCGTCTATACTACTTGGGTTTAAAATTACTGTAGCGGGGAAGTAAAGTCCATGGTAATGCAAATCTCAGACATATACCACTTTGATGTACTGACAAACCATGAATCCCATAATGAGGGCGAATTCGACCCACGGTCGTCGATGATGACAATTCAAACAAACTTCTGCACAGGTTGTCATGAAGTCCAAGGTGAGGTCTAATCGCCCTGGTCCACCCCTTGACAGATGCTATTGATGTAGGTGTCGGGTAATAGATCCACTGATGTTGGTGACACTTGTGAAAGTTGAGAGGTATGAAGGAGCAATGCTGATCATAAATAAACATAATCGATCAAACATCGAATAAAGCACACTTTACAATACCATTACCAACAAACCACGACCGAGAGTAATATGAGGATGTGTCTTCCTGATGCTAATTAAAAGTTATGATTCGATTGAGAATATAAGATTGATAACTCTTCCTCTAAATAGAGCGGTCGGGTAGCCTAGTGGTTAAAGCGTTTGCTCCTCACGCTGAAGACCCGGGTTAAATTCCCGACATGGGTACAATGTGTGAAGCCCAATTCTGGTGTCCCCCACCGTGATATTGGTGGAATATTGCCAAAAAGGGCGTAAAACCATCCTCACTCACTCTCTCACTAACTCGCTTTCTCTAAGTAACACAGTACGACGTTTACTGAAAAATAGTAACCACGTCGTTGCGGGGGATAATAATGAGTGAGTATTGTTTTATGCTCCTTGAAGCATTATTCCAGTAATATCACGGAGGGGGACACAACAACTAAGCTTCACACTTTGTACCAATGTTGGGAATCAAACACTTTAACCATAAGTCTACCCCACCGTCCACACAGTACTACTCACCATAACCGTGCACGTAAGTTTCACCGAAGTCGTAAACGTCTGAGACCTGCATCACTTCGGGCTTTCCTCCCACATTAACCTGACACGTCGAGATATAACTGTAATACTGTTAAAAACGGCGTTAAACTCAACTCACTCACTCACTCACAGTACTACAACTACTAGGAACATGTGGTATAAGTAAAACAATGTGGAAATGACACATACGTATACTGAACAACAAAAATTCCTATGACATTGAATAAGATTTAATGCAAAGTTACGTTTTTACCAAATCTAAAACAATTTCGGTTTGCAACAGATAAAAGACTCCTGTAACTGTTCAAATTGTTAAATTTGCCATACAGACTTCAGAAAATGAGGAATTTCATAAAAAAAACATGAACATGTCAAAATGTCAATCGATAGTTGCGATGCAAGCAACACATCTTCGTCTCATGGAATGGACCAGGCGTCGCACAAAGTCCTGTAGGATATCTGTCCATATCTGCTGGAGCAAGTTCCTGGAGTGTCTGTGGAACACGTGATTAACGTCAAAGGCGCCTATCCATCTCATCCCACGTGTGCTCGATTGGTGAGAGATCAGGGGAATGAGCAGGCCAGGGGGTGACATTCACGCTGTTTTGTTGAAGAGAATCCCTAACAAATCGAGCAATATGAGGCCGGGCGTTGTCATGTTGAAAGGTAATGCCTGGGCCATGACGACGCAAAAACGGTAGAGCAACAGGGCTGATGATCTCGTCGCGGTAGCACTGTCCATTGAGATTTCCCTCTACCACTATCAAACGGGTCCTCTGCCTTGCTGTAATCCCACCCCATACCACAACGCTGCCGCCCCAGAACCGATCTTTTTCCATGACACAATGATTGACGTAACGTTCACCTCGACGTCGGTACACTCGAATCCGTCCATCGCTGTGGCCGAGGTGAAAAGGAAACTCGTCAGTAGGTAGAAATTGTCCCCACTGCATGGCCGTCCAGCGCAGACGCTGTCTGCACCACTGTAGACGTGCTTGACGGTGGTTTCCTGTCAAAATTGGACTTCTGGTAGGTTTTCTGGCGACAATCCCTGCACATCTGAGGCGACAACGTACGGTTTGTGAAGATATTCGTAGAAGGCCAAGGATGCTTCTTGCAGTCACTGTTGCTGACTGGAATCGATTTCGTAGGTGTGTTGTTCGAATCCAGTTGTCTTGTCTTATTGGTTACGTGTGGCCTGCCACTCTGAGGATGGTCTCCGACTGAATTCGTCTGTTGCGAACGTTGAATAATTGCGTAATTTTGTTGTTAATCTGAGTGGTTGTTGTGAACACAATGCTACTCATGATGCTAGTCTCTGGATTGTCCTGTCCAGATTCGATTATTTTAAGACTGTCGTCTCATAGCTGGAATATTGTTGAGTGCAGCTGAAACAACTAACAAACAACTTTCAGTTGAAATTGGAAAGTTGAGAACGTGGCTGAAGACCCGGGTTCGATTTCCGACATCGGTACAATGTGTGAAGCCCATTTCTGGTGTCCCCCACCGTGATATTGCTAACAATATTGCTAAAAGTGGCGTAAAACCAAACACACTCACGCACTCTAACTTTAAGGGTTTTTTTCAGTGACATATGACTACAATACTGAAACTGATCCACTCTCAATGCATGCATTCGCACATAAGGAATTATGACTGATATCACAGATATTGACGCTGAACACTATCATTCCATAACATTGACAGTAGTGGATGACCTCGCCTAGGTAAACACTACCAAGCTGACTGTCGTTCATTTCCCGATGAACGTCAGTATGTCACGTGATTACGTTGTCAATCGAGCGAAGACATACATAACTACTTTAGGGGAATTGCTCAATGTCTGAAAATAACAAAAATGTGAGTCTCGAAAAATGCTACACGTGTTAATGATTAGGGAAAACTAGTTTCAAATGTTTCATGTCTGATATGTTTTCTGAGAGCGATATCAATTCAGGCTATGAATGATGCATACTTTGACGCCAGACAGATCATGTTTATGTCGAGTCGCCGACATGAAGCGTCCCTTCGAAGCTATAACAGAGAATGCTCGAGTTACCAAAAGAAATCACTGAGCTCAACACTGTAGTGTATTGCTTCGGGAAATCCAACCACGCCAACTCAAGGGGTAATCCCCGTCATCAGCAGCTGTACACACATCCACAGTTCACAGAACGTTAATATCAATCCATTTACAGCATCAACCGGGTCTGGATATATTTCCAACTCCAACTTTACTGGGTGCAACTTTTTTTTCAAGTGAATGACACTGCAGTAGCCACCATTTTTTTCTTTGTAAAACCAAGGAATGTCACCACAAATTTAATGTTTATTCGCTTTAAATAATTAAAGTTTGATGTTTAATGGATTTATGTTTCTGTCAATATAAAGATTGAAGTTGTAATTGTTGACCTTCATCAGCAAAGCGCTCCATGGTAAATTTGCTCACGCGAGGCACTGTTGTCATCAGCTGATGAACGTCAACAAAAACAACTTCAATCTTTGATGTGAAAGGAACAATCTTGGTTTTCTTGTTTGAAAATACCATTTGTCATGCTTCAGATTTTGCCTTGATGTTGGCGTTTTCGTGTCACACAGAACGGGTTGAAGAAACATGTACAGAGTAAATAATAAAAAATTGATGTACACAAGAAAACGCCGAGTATTGTGTGCATCCTTACACCTGTTCAGACAGGGCTTATGTCAACATCGCATGGTTGAAGATGTTTGCCGTTAAGTCAAGCATAGTAGAAAAGAACGAAAACGTCATAATGGCTTGTGACATCAATTCCAAAAGCTTTGAATGATTTAACAGACTTTAACTTGACAAGGAATATGTTGAATTATTGTGAAAAAAACAAAAACAAGAATAGACCCGTGGAGATCCGGGTCTAGATAGAATATGTCTTCAGCAAATCATGCTTGCCTTTAAGGGCGACTATACTTGTCGTAAGAGGCAACTAACTGTATCGGGTCAGCCTCGCTGACCTAGTTGATTCATGTCATCGTATCCAAATTGCATGGATTGAAGCTCAGGATGTTAATCTCTTGGTGAACACATCAAAATCAACCCCTTCGTCGTTTCCAAATCTGTTCAGGGAATATGTGGTACTGTCAAGAATGTTTCTCGTCTCCCGTCTGGTTTACTGCTTGTGGAGTGAGCAAAATGACAACAATCCCTAAATGTTCTCAAAGCACATCATTTAGCAAATACTGAGATTGTCGTCTAAGTTCATGTCAATGCATTGTACGCGACCATGCCAAATGCCTTTCCGACATGTCAGAAGAGGAAATTGCAGCAGAGCTGAAGCCTCATGGTGTAACATCTGTGAAGCGATTTATGAAAAGAAATGGTGACAGTCTTATTAAAACTCAGACTTACCTTATTACCTTTGCTTTAACAAAAGTGATTTCTTCAATCAAAGCTGGATATTTCAACATCTGAGTGGATGTGGACAAATCTACTCCCTTGTTTTAAATGTCAGCAGTTCGGGCATGGGGCAAAGTCCTGTCGTAACTCAGCAATTTGTTTCCGTAATTTGTGTCCTCCTCGAAATAATGCCATTCTTTTGTGACACGGACTAAAAAATCAAATATACTAAGAAGCTAAGACACTGTTTAAAAGTCACTCAACCACTCCCACCTCTTCTCTGAACTACTCTGCTGCAGTCTCCTCGTCTGTCGAAGTTGATAGGATGCCAAACAGCTATAAGCTGGGTGTCAAATGAGACGAAAACACTCTATCAAAT